TCATAAATAATTATGATAAATAAAAATTGAATTAGATAAAAAAAATTAAAAAATTAAAATTTATTGTCATGCATGAGCGTTTTTAAATTTAAGAAAAAATAAAATTTTAATTATAAATAATTAATTTTTGTATTTAATTAGATATGTGTAAATTAAAGACGAAATACATTTAAAATTGAGAAATAAAGTATGAAAATAAATTATTTGAATCAAGATACATCATCTTTATTTAAATTAGGGTGATCAAGACACTTATCGCCCCTACATATTTTATGTAGAAAAAAAAATAGTGGTTCTAGATAGAAAAGTGATAGTCCATAATTATTCATTATGCAAGATAAAATGAAAAAAAAAACCAATTAAAAGAAATTATTATGCAATTAGTGAAATTTCACTGCTTAAAAAGGATAAACAATTTAGATTTTTTATAACATAAAAAAAAGTGCAAAAGGATCTGTTTGAAAATGAAATATATATATATATATATATATATATATATATATATATATATATAGGGGGGATTTGATCTGTAGCAAAAAAAAACTCTATTAAAATGATTTGTCAAAATTCAAAATTTTAAAATTAAGAATAACTAACATTTAAATAATATTTATATTCATTTTTCATATAAAAAATAAGATATTTTTGATTTGTTATTGTGTATCAAAATTTAAAATTTAATGTATTTAAATCAAATTAAATTTATGTAATAGTATTTGAATTTGAATGAAATAAAAAGAATTATTAAGAAAATTAAATGTTCAATATGAAAAAAGCCACGTGATTTATGTGTGTATGACAAGTTATTTTAATAACTTATAAATTAGTATGATTAAAATAAACCTGTTTTGTATATAAATTTATTACAGTAACTTCTAACTTAATTATTTTTACAAGTTATTTTAACTAATGTATAACTTATAAACTATTAATTTTTATTTTTTTCTTTTTTAATTTACTTGAGATCATTTTTCAGCTTTTAATCTTATATTGTTCTAGTAGTTACTGTTAATGATGTTATGTTCTGTGTCTTCATTTAACTTTTGATATCTTAATTTTGCCTCTTTGAACCTCGATTGTCCATTTTTACTAATAAAATTAATTTTTTTCAAGTAACTTTTCAATCTCAATTACGTCTGCAAGGCATTAAGATATATAGGATCTGAACCCAAATTTTGTGACTGGCCCTAATCAAGAATATATCAATATATATCTTGTTTTAGTTTAGTTAACTAATCAACTAATTATCTTATGCCAAGCAATACATTTCTATCCAAGAATTAACGACAACCTTCACCATCAAGTACACACACAATTGTGATTCTTGGAGCTTTCTCGTACAGCCTTACTTTAATGCAAAGCAATATGATAATGCAAAAATTGAGCAACATGGCAGTCAACATTAATTCCACTTATCAATGGCAAAGATAAATACTGATCATAACATGGCATAATCAAGATCATTCATGAGGATTCATGAACAATGAACAATACCCTGCAATTTACAAACTGATAAATGCTAGTAGATGCAAAATGTTACTAATTGAACCCCACAACAAAAAAATAAAGAACTCTTATTTTGATTTCTGATGGCTGGATCATATTTGATGACTTCACAGATGCCTCAGGCTAACCAGTTCAATATCAAATATAAGTGTCCCTAAAGTGGAACCTTCTCCATTTGCTAGGCGAGTTGGATTAAAAATAGTAGTGAACAGCCTTTGCCTGTCAAAGAACTTTTTTTTGGAGGAAGGTTGAAGGAATACCAAAATAAACTATTACTATAAGAATAAAAGAGATTGACAATATAATATCCAATCCATTTGTAAATTGTTCATCATACAAAAAGGGAGAAAACAGAAGTGGATGGATCACAGTTTCTTCCAAAATGAAAAAAACTATCAAATGGGCTAATAGCTATATTTTATACAGTAACCAGTATTTACTAAGTAGCAACTACCCCTTCATTTAACATGTATGACTTCGCAATGTAAGGAAAAGTAATCACAGGATATAACATGACATTTTGTATATTCCATAATTTTTGTGCTACATAAGCTTCTTTTAATATCAGTCTAGTCTACTATGTCATTTTTTTTTCTGATATTTCTGTTTTTCTTTTATAACCCCCACAGCCATGTAACACATTGTGTGTCCTATTCTTACATGTGTTATTATCTAAGATTAGAATGTGGGTTTATCACTAACTCAGCTTTATAATATCAGTTTGTAAGGTAAAGACTGTCTTCACTTACATATTCTATGTTAATCATATCACTAGTCCATGTAAAATTTTTAACACTCAATTTCAACCAATAAAGAATGTATAGTGAAAAAGTTATCTATGCAGATATTGTAAACAAGCACAAACATGCAACCACTTCATTTTTTTTTCACATTACCAGCAGGTCATTCAATTTGGATGTTGAAAAGTTTGCATTTATCAATAAATATAAGCCATATTGAAGCTAGCTTGGTTTTGCAGTTTACAAGCAGAACCTTCTTTTCTAGGTAGTAGATGCAAATGTTTTTAATTTATTTTTTAAATGAAGTGGAATATAAAAAATTTACGGCAAGTTTGGAGCAGGAAAAGTTTCTTACATTAGGTGGGATGGGCTCTTGTGATGTGTTTTGATACCCTAGTGATGGGGGTATGATGATTCGACGAATACCTCCAACTTTCATCGATCTCACTGCCACCTCAATTCCAGTAATAACCTAGACATAGCATTTGATTCTGATATGAATCAATTCTTCTTAAACATGACATACATAGGAAATAATTTAATAACAACTTTTGAAAAAAAAAAATCATATAGAAGTCCTACATTTTGACAATCCTTCAAATGGTAGTTTCACAAAAGATGAAGGTTGTGTTTTACATAAATGCTAAAACAGAATGACTCATACAAAATCAGTGAGGTCTACCTCAGTTAGTTAAACATAGTGCGTGAGTTGTTGTAAACCCTTGGTACTAAGTTTGGTTCCCATGGAATCCATGGATTAAAAGAAAAGAATGACTCATAAAACTTGAATCAATGTTAAAGTAATAACAATAATAAAACCATTTTGAAATTTGCACTTAAAATTATATTCTGTCATGTCCTTTCCCTTCAATACCTTGCTAGAACCAAGGACAAAGACAAATGGATTGGGTTCACCATTGTCATCTTTGTGGTCATAGGTTGAGTCAAAGCGCCACCCTTGTTTTGCTGCCAGCCTCCCATAGTAGTGAATTGCAACCTTCAAAAATAACAACAAAATATTTACAAAATCAACCGAATCATAATCAATGAAATAAATTAAAAAGATTTACATATTCATGAGTTGAATTATTATATAAATAAAATCCTACAAATTATCTTACACTACCAACAAAACAAATTCATCATGGCATAAAACCAAGCATATAAAATAACACATACATTATAACGAATGTAAACAATCTTTACACTATCATCTGATCATAAACCATCATATATATATATATATATATAATAAATTTATTAACTTTTATAATAATCATCTTAAATGTCATTCCAAAGATAATTTTTAGTTGATTAGTCATGTAAATTTTTTTACACTTTTTTTATCTATAGAAATTACAATAATAGCAACATGATTCAAACTTAAAATACTTTATATACTACTCTAACCCTACCACTAATAATAATTACACTAATTTAGTCGATATGAATGTGATAGACTGTCAAAGATATCACGTCTGGCAAAATTAACACTGTTAAGCAAAACATTGAGGGAATTATCAATTTAACTAATTGACACACTTCAAAAATGAAAGTGCAACTTTTTAAATAAAAGGAACCAAATTGAATTCAAACCAAGATTAAAATGATATAGTCAAATTCTATTTTAACCCAACTTATCGATATCATATCACATATCACAATTTGTGATTAGATAACGGTCTCAATAAATTTTAATTATCAATGCATTATGATTCTAATTAGACTCATATATTATGTAAAATTAGAGGAGAAATACCTGGTCCCCATCTGAGGGAACTTCACCTGAACCTTCAAGGAGGTCCAAAGCCTTGAGTCCACCAGAATTGGGGATCTCAAAGAAATCTGATAGGGGAAATTTTGAAGAAGGAGAGGGGGAAGAAGAGGAAGGAGGTGGAGGAAGTGAGAAGATGAATGCAGAGAAAGTGGTGGAGATGAGAGAAAGAGATAAAGGTCTTCTTGTTATTGAGGATGATGCTGAACAAGTTGCAAACATGTTGTTATTACATGGATACTTAGTGTGAGGCAGAGGGGCACACACACGTGTGGCACTTGCAGAGACACAGGATTCTATTATCGTCTTCATTTTCTCAGTTGTCGTTAAAACAAGGAACAAGTTTTTTAAACACCTTGTTCCACATAGAAAATCACTTTTCATTTTCAATAGTACTCTTTTCTTTCCTTTTTTGCCCCCAACATTTTCTGGAGAAATATTTTGATCAAGAAATTGGAGAAAAAAAATGTTATATTTCATTCAAGATTTCAATTATTTTTCAAAAGGTTTTACAAAATATTCTCAATATTATCTTATAAACCTGTTCCACGACCAATAATCATTGGATCCTATTTCACCACTTAGGCATCCCTGTTCAATTGTTCTTCTATATATACATATCAAACTTCAGAATCGATTTTTCTAAAAAAAAATTATAAAATATAAAATGTGTATAAAAAATTGAAAAGAAAATATCAATAACAAAATTACTTTTATATAAAATTAAGAAAAGCATTTTAATTTGAGATAAAAGAAGAGAAGTTTTGTATCCTCGAGTCAATTAAGATGACAAGAATAATAAATAAACGAATGGGATGATGATATGTTTTGTACCTTTTTTTTCCCTTATTTCCTCTTAACATCCCATTATTCAATTTTTTTCAATTCACTTTTAAAAATTAATAATTAAAGACTAATCTTCACAACAACTCATTATAAAATCTATTATGAACCTCTTTTTAATATATAAAAAAAATAGAAGGGGGCAAGGGAGGCTTGGTCGAGGCTTGGTCCAGAATAATATAAACATATAGGATCACATTGTATTAAGTAGAAACGATAGACAAATGCAGTAAAACCGTAGTGGATCAAATTTCAATGATTATTGCTTTTATATCATCCTTTTCTATTAATCATATTCATATCTGTAAAGATAAGCAAAGGAATGAAATAGATGCTCAAAGATATATTGAATTATTATCATCAACATGAATTACAGAGAATGATTTAAAGACCTTATATAAGTTACACGTAACAGAATAATCTTATCATAAACAATGACAGCTAAGATAACTAATCATAACTAAACAAAGGATTTTATCATAACAGAATTAGTTTTAATCTAACTAACTTTATTATCCTTAACATCCCCCCTCAAACTTATGTCACATGAGGAAGTGACCATAAGTTTGCGTCGAAAACTCTCAAATGGAGGCCAGTGATGGACTTTGTAAGAATGTCTGCAACCTGAAAATGTGATGGTAGATGAAAAACCTGAATGGCTCTAGTAAGCACCTTATCTCTTACAAAGTATAGATCAAGTTCAAAATGTTTAGTTCGCTGGGCACGATACCAGTTGTAGAATGATTTGGGGTTTTTGGTTCTACACTGAGCGCGACCCTTGTCGCGCTGGGCATGAGACTCCTTGGGAGTCTCTGCCTTGAGGGCGTTGGGCGCAATTTGAATTGCGGTGGGCGTGAGACCAAGGGAGGTCTCTGCCTTTCCCGCGCTGGGCGCGGGTCTAGGCACACTGGGCGCGTGAGACTCCATGGAGTCTCTGCTTGGCATGCGCTGGGCGCAATTGGTATTGCGCCAGGCGCGAGTGAGCCTTGGGCTCTCTGGCTGGGTCCCGCCGTTTTTTGAGGGCGTTCGAGGTTTTATGCACGGTTCTAGGGGTGGAGGTGTCCCTTCGGGTTTTCCTCTCTTTCTACCAATTGAAGGCGGGCGCCCCGCCGTACGGGACGCTTTCTTTGAATGGGGGTAAGGAAGGGGGTTTGTTTACTCCCTATTCCTAATCGTATAAAAACTATAGGCAAGAGTTTTTTCGGGTTACTCTTGTCGATGTCGACCCTTTGGAGGATGGGGGGTTCTATTTTGGCGGGCTGTCGAGGTTTCCCTTCTACTGGTGCCGTGACCCGTCTGGGTTTCATGGGGTGGACCCCTCGCAGCTGACGCCGTCGGAGACGGCTGCTGTCGATGCTTTGAAGGCGCTTCTTCGCCCTCTAGACTGCAAGCTCATTCTGTCGCTCGAGCGTTTGGCGCACAGAGAAAGAGATTTGGAGGGTGAGTCTTTGGTAACTTTGTTTATGTGTTAGGGTTTTATGCTTGCTAACGTGCTCTGTCCTTTGCTTTCAGGTATTGTGGGAAAGGACTTGTGGCGTGACTGGAAGCAGTGCCATCGCTACAATGTTGTTGAGCTTAAGGCTCCTAAGGCTCAGGGGGAGGTAGAGGTCTCTCCCTTGAAGGTCAATCGGAAAAGGAAGAGGGTCCCGAGGGAGGTTGGGGGAGCCTCTGTTCCTCGCGAGGCGGAGGAGGTTGTTACTGGGGCCACCGGCGTTGAGGTGGAGGGTTTGCCCGGGAGTCTCCTGCCT